AAACGGTGTGTATACGACGACACGCGTGTCGTCCTCGTTTCTTCCTGTTCCCTTCGAACAAGTAGTCGACTCGCCTCGTGTTTCTCAGAAGTCTCTTTAATTGCGAGCAGTACCGTTCTGTCGTAGCTCTATCTAATAACATGCTCGAAATTACGAGCCGTTTCAGCGAACGCGACTCCCGCTAGCCGTTTGATAACACAACTGGTTATGCAAATGAAACTATAATGCATTTGCCACGAATTAAAATCTCTTCTTACAACATAACGAGTGACGACCGTGCTACATACTCGAGCATTATTTAACGCGTTACGCTACCACCTTTAAACACGTGCGACGACCATAACTTTTCATTTTACACGCTTTCAAAGTTATGAGATTTCCATTCAAGTTTACATGTAACTTAGAAAATGGCATAACAGATGCAAGTTTCAAAATTATCCATTATACGGCTACGCGTTACATTGTCACGAATTGTTTTCTTACGTACCGTAATCCTACGCTTTGTATTATCAACGCGTTGTATTCCCACGCATTGTATTTTCGCGCGTTGTATTTTAACGCGTTCTACACCTACGCATTGCGTACGTATCGACGCTAGGTAAACTGACGTCTTATGATCAAGCGATATATGGTCACGTGTCATGTCGGCAATATTTCAAATCTTAGTTACAATCTTTCGAATCATTAAAGTAACCACTTTTTAAACGATATCTGTGCAATATATGCACAGTTCCTCTGTCAGCTAATTTTCAAACTAAATATAGATTTTGCTAGTTTCTCGATCAAGGTAGCGACGATGTAAAATGTAATAAATTCGGTCAAACGACGTAAGCGTTCTGACGCAATGGTTAAGCTACACGAACTTCTTTTTAATAGATTCAGAAATTTATAGCTTTCTCGAATCACCGTGCGAATATCGAATTTCTTACGAACAAGAATTATTTATGACATACGAATTTTCCTCCTAGCGTGGGATTTGAATGTTAGTCGTCGCATAACACTCGAGGTTCGCCTCTCTCGCTAGGAACCAGACTCGTTTTTTCTATGCTAAACGGTTTTTATCGTTGTTCATCAAGTTAAGGCAGCCGTGAAACTTGGAGCAACTCGCTGTCTTCGGTTCTCTGAATTACGATCATCTGCATTTTTCAAAATATTCCGTCAACAACGCAAAATTTTGAATAAAGAACAGGTGTGAGCGAGCTCGCGCCGTGTCTTGTCACAGAGTTTCTATTAATTTTTCCCCGAGGATTCGATCGTTGGTTGAATCACTCGTTTAATATATACTTATGCTTCATTTTTATTTATAAGATGGCTCATAAATATGGCAACTCGCTCTGAAGCATGCCGATCATTTTTTTTCTTTTTTAACACTGCTATTTTCTCACGGGAACTCATCGTGCTCGAGACGCAAATAATTTTTTTTCAAAAGGCGAATGCAAAATTCTGTCCTCTACATAGATACACATTTAAAATTCATTCTTACCAATCTCTGTAAAATATTTTAAAAATCATTGTTTAATCGTACAAAAGAATAACATAATTATTTTGCTTCTTTTGAAAGGGTGTACGGTTATATTTCTAAGCAGCTGTACTTTATGGAAGCGACTGCATTATCTAGTTCGAACTATGTGAGCGCGTGGCGGTAAATGGAAAATCGCGTATTTTTCGTCAACCCCTCCACCACTGTAATGGTATTCCCTCTAATTATTCCCATGACAGGCGATTGGTCGTTACTCTCGAATTAATTGGTGGGCCAATTGATCTGAATTAAGGCGCCGCCCAGTAGATTCAAATTAAGATCAATATCTCGGCATGTGAATTGGAATATGACCGCGAGCGCGGCTCGTAACCATAAATTTCTGGTGTCCAAACAATGGGAAGTCGGCCGTAATTTTGCCAGAACACGGTGCTCGCCCACCATCGATGATGAAACGCATTGCTCGCAGCAACGGCTCAACCCCGTAAGCGTCGCTCCAAAAACCCCTTGAGACGCACCGATAACAAATAAACTCCTAGACTTCCCTGAACCTTTGCTTTAACTTTCAACAAGTGTGCTACGAGTCTTTTCCCTTTCAACACGCTACAGATGTTCGTGTTGCATCCAAGATACATAAGGGTTTCCCAGATTCCAAGTCTGTTAATCCTTGAATCTTTATATCCCGGTATTCCTGAATGCTCGTATCGTTGGATTACCATATTTCTAGATCAGTATGGTAGGTAACTAAACGGGAAGACTGAAAAATGTTTACAGCTGAATAAAACGCGTCGACGAAAAAGAAAAGAAGCGAAGATGAGAGGAGATGGTGAAGCAACCGTAATAGAGGGAAATCACGAACATAGTTGGACGAAGGCGCGTGAACGACAATATACGAGGTGTCTCGTTAACATTATTGGTATACATGTACCTACACCAATAATCGTTACTGAACTGCAGCTGCACAATTGCAGCCATTCAATGCGACTCACCGTGGTACATGATCCTATCTCGCTACGGAATTGAAATGGCTTCTCCGTGTCTGGATAAAACGGACATCAGATTACGTCGAGTTTCCGCAAAAACAAACGGCTCAGACGAATAAACTAATTACCATGGTTTCATCTTACACCCAACCATTATTTTCTTGCTTTACATTAAACGGCTACCATTATCTAGATGCATTTATTTTCAACGAAACAAAGAAATAGGTGTAAGACCTATACGGTACTATAACTGTCCCAAATAGAATAGGTGATAGGGGAACATTTTATTATATAAACAAAGTAAGAAATGCGAGCGAGAGCAATCAAAGTGAGCAAATTGAATGCAGAACTTTTCGTAGCGAGTACGCGCGATGGAGTAGAATAAATAGCGCGAACTGTATACAAAATTAAATACTGCAGCGTCTCACTTTTCCTGTCCATTTAATTCGACGATAAAAGCATTCCTAACCTGGTTACACTGCTGCCAGCCTTACCAAGCCCGTTTCCGCTTTTACTTTGTACCAACTTTTACTCCAAACAAACCTTTTGAAAATTGCATACATACGTCCTGCTTTCGAACAATACGATACTTATGTGATACGACACAGAATCTTTAACTATAGTAAGGGATTTTCGAAAGCTCAAATTTATTTCCTTAAATACGATTCGTGCGAGATATAATTCCTGCTTTTTAAGGTTTCATTATACATCGTGCCCTTCTTACGTATCTCTTATCGCATAGACAGCACGGATAGGATTTCCTTCGTCTATTGCAATTCGATCCAGTTGCTGGTACTTTTACGCGCAAACTTTTACCTCTCTTTTAAGATGTTACGATCTAACAGCAGTAGTCAATATTATCAAAATATAGTATCATAACGAGCCAGTGGAAGTATTTAATTAAATTTTGTGTTTTCGGTAGATCAGTATTGTTCGAAGCAGCAAAATGAAATTTAATCCTCAAATTTCTGAAAGTCTAACTTTTCACGTTCCCAAATTTTTCTACGTAATAAATAAGAAAATATCAGTTGTAACGCGTGTTGTGACCACGTGTACAATTTTTGTACGGTTCACGTAGTATTGTACAAACACCGTTCGCACCAGGTGTGTAAACGCGAAATCAATATGGGAGGCGGACACTATGCCAATAACCCCGTTACGAAACTCGCGATCGTCTATTTGGATAATGTCACTAGACGTCGTTAACGAACCGCGTAGGTGGAAACGATAAAGCATTATAGCCCATACGTCAGCGTAAATAATCCAACGTAATTTTGTCGTTCGTAAGAATAAATAGACCACGGTATAACCGAGAGAACGGATTTACGGTTACGTCACAACTACTCGTGACGTCACCAGCCACAGAAACAGGTGACAACCACTATCAACCAGTGACGTCAGTCGGGAACGGGCAACGAACCGCCGTTCTACGCTTGCGCGTTACGCTATATCGGACGTGAACCGCACGTCCCCATTCGCGATCAGTTCTTTCAGAAGTTCATACCGATCGTTTCCAACAACAAATGGTCAAGGTATTGACGACCAATATGCGTGATCGTTACTGTATCAATGACACGCTAAAACGCAAAGAGATCTTAGGATACGAGCGTGTTATTAAGCGGGTAACCTATCGAAGATCAAACGTCTCGAATACTCCATTCTAGCAAATTTAATAGACAGTGACAACACTTACGAGTGCCGCTGGACTGTCTGTCATTCTTTCTGGAATCCTTCTACTCTGTAGACGGGTCTCACTAACGATTAAACGTGCGATAAAGAGAACACGTACTCACGACACCGTACTCGAAAACTCGGAAACTGTCTCGGCCATCATGAAAGGCACGACCGTGTCGATCGCCGACTCGATTGCGCCGTAGCCGTGCATGCCGCCACCTACCATGAAATAACCAAACTTATTGATCACTGCGTTTTTATCGACTCACAAGTCCAATGAATACTTTTCTTTTAACATAAATAAACAAACCTTTAGCGTAAATAAAATGTAGCTCTCCTGCGAATCATTCGTTCATCGGTTCAATGCACCGCAAATATGCATAATTTACTTATCCTACCATTTCGACAGATGATAAGTATCATGCTTATTTTAGCAAACCCCAAAGATACAGAGTAAGCTTATCATTGTAAACTAAATATAAAATAAATCTATCACACAATGTTTCTTTCTATCCCTAATTTCTAGCACTTTAAAGTCCTATTCCAAGTATCCATTTCCTCCGCAACCTTACTCAAACACCATAAACGCTCACTATGGTTAAGAACCACTTTTACCGATGGTCACATTTTACCAATTTTTCGTACCTTGCACAGATAATACAGTTTCCTACAATCTCTGTTGTAAATCAGCGCTTTACCTTCAAACGCATGTCTATGAATGTTTAATCTTTAAATCTTGCATGCAGTTGATGATAGACATGATGTGGTGACACAATATGTATTAAATATAGTTGTGAACTTGAAATGATAGAGCTATTGGCAACGATCATGGTTAAATAATTATACCTGTACATACTTCGCAGATTTTAATAGATACGTAAGACGAGTCAAGCAAACGGTGAAGTCATATGGTCTATTGACTTTGCAAAACATCATTTATAATTACGCTTGCGTTCATGTAATATTGTGTTTTCCAAGGTTGTAAAGGATAATCGCCAATGTTTTACGTTGTGACTCTGTGATTATGTTATTTAACCATTCAACATTAGGCGTAACACGTCGCTCGAAAGGATCAGATGTGAAAAATTAAGTGGAGGTTCAAAAGTACATATCGGACAAAATTTTAACGATATAATCCGTGGTAGTACAATGTGTGACGACGTAATGTTTAACGACACAAAATAATGCGAACATTCATCATGACGCATAAAAATTCAAGGCGTGGAGACGCAGTAGGTACGATTAGCAATTATTAATTCACAAATATTAGTTGACTTCGGGACGATCTTTCGTTACAAATAGTACAATGCGGTCTTTAAAAGTTGAAATGCGATCAAGGAAAGGGAAAATGTACGATTTTCCACCTGTTTACTAATGATTAATTCATCTATTAAATATGTAAAGAGTTCGTGGCGCGACGTTTCGTACGAACCGCGCGTGCGCTTGATCAATGTGCGGCCGCGCATCTGCTACACACGTACACAAGAACGAGCATAGTTGAACGTTTTTGGGTAAAATATTCTCAGTCGATAATAAATATAACATTTTTTCATTATTGTCATATAGTAAACTTTAAATACTCGGCTTGTGAATAATTGTTATCTTTGATGTGACGTTCTAAACATTTAATCGAAACGTTGTTGTAGCGAGGAGCACCGATCGTTACTCGTCCGCGTATGTAGCACGACAGAGGGAGGAAATCCTTCGACATATCATCATTCGGCTGCTCGCTTCGATGTGCGGTTAGTTTGTTCCGAATAATCGTTGAAGAAGATGTGACCATTAACGAAGGTGTCGTTACAGAGATTCGTGAAAAATGACAATGTTTGTTAAAAATACGTGTACCACAAAAGAGACAGCCAGATAGTATTTGAGAGAAAGCAACATCAGTTTTCGTGTGTACCAACAATGCTGCGTTACGTACGGTCTTATTCATGAATAGTAGAAAACTCCCCCACGATTTATTGACTTCGTGAGAGGAACCATTAAGGGTAGACACCGCCTAGCTGACCACCTTTTGCTAAGAGTTGTCAACATTGTATTTCATGTGATACAAACTGCAGGTATGCTTATTTTTATTTATGTTTAATTATTTTCATTACATACGCATGAACCGGCATCACAGCTATGGTGGTTCAAATAGCATGCATGACTGCATGTTAAAGGTTCGCTATCTAATCTTATCTTGATTTATTTTCCCTTTTCTGCTGTTAACTGCATTCGATTTCAAATATTTACTGATAATAGTTCACCAATTCCTTGCTTTCGTGGCACGCTATGATATAAAAAGCCATGAAATTAAATGAAGTTAAATGGTGCCAATTGGTGGCGAATCTGTTATCATCGTGTGTTAAGTTTTGTTTTCAGGGTTTCGTTACAATACGTTATAGAACACTGAGATTTGTAATTCTTATCGATTCGCGATTACGTTACTGTATGTGCTCAAATTTCCCTATGCCTTTCAAATTAAGAAAATAGATTTAGTTGCCGTACTTCCTATTATTAATTATCCGCTTCTAAATAGATATATATTATGTATCGTTTCGTGGAAAAAATTCAAACGTTGATAATTTTTCATTTAAACAATTTCAAGGAGCAATAGAAATGCGCGGTATACAGTGGCTGTCAAAATTAAGTAAACATATTTGCAACGAATAGCATTCGCGTCGAAAGAAATATTTAACTTTGTAAAATAAATTATATATCTACTTGAAGTACATGAAGTTAAACCTTAATCTAATCGTAAAAAGATAAAACTGCGCTACCCGCGATAAATACATATTTCAAGAGTCATTTAACATTTTAGACAAACGTAATTTTTAAAAAATTGCTAATTTTCAACTTTACAAATGTTTTACATGTCTATAATTACAGATGTTTAGGTCATTTAGCTAGCGGACTATTGTATGGACTCTCCCTAATAAAATGACGTCAGTGTGCGGTCGCTTATCTCATTTTTAATACAAAAGCGAAATACACCGGCTGATAATAGTGATTCTCTAATCGTCATTCTTTATTACTGTACGCCTGTTTTGTCACGGCGCATTCAAAAAAATTAAAATGTTCTCGAGCAATGTAGATTATGTTTACGTACTTTGAAAACATGTATTTGTTGCGTAGCCTATATTCTTACTTTTTACTTTTGATACGTGTAATTGTGCATATACAAAAAAAAATATATTTACAATCATCTATGTATATGTACGTGTGTATATTTATTATCGTTTCTTATGCCGTGTTCTGAATCATCATTGTTATTGTTTACAGGATAGTTATGAAGTACTGACAAGAAAGTATCCGTGTTTGAAACAATCATAAGGGAATATATGAAACCGTAATACCATTACAGGCTTAATCGTATCCAAAATACTTAGAGAAAATGAAAAAAAGATTATTTCTATGTTTCATTTGTGCCGTTATACTTTTCATCTTTATGATCTCCACCGACGATGACTTTATCGAGCATGTATCGCCGTACTTGTATCTCAGCGATTCTTACGATATCACATGTTACGAAGAACCAAATTCCGCAGATAGTTTTCCTGATTTTAATCCAAAATCAGGTGAGTTACGTTAACCGAACTTCATTAGATATTTTACGAAACACCCTGTATAATTACAAGTACTTATTCTTTATGTATGAGCAAATATGTAAGCACACCTTTTCATCCTGTACTAGTGTCGAACAATGCAATATCGGATAGAAACATCTTCTTTCACGAGACATCCTGCTTCCAAGATGGTTTGGTTTTGAACGCTCGTCAAGCATGTGCCGTCGAATCCGCGGCTAAGATGAATCCAAACATGAATGTGTATCTCTTGTTTGTATCCCCTTCAAAGATTTCCAATCAATCGAAGGAACTTTTCAAACAGTTGGAAACTTATCCAAACATTCATTTGGGACATATTTATCCAGATGAATATGTGAAAAACACACCTCTGGATTTATGGTACAAAAGTGGAGTACTAAAAAAGAGTCGATGGCCAAGAAGTCACATGTCAGACATACTTCGATACTTGACCCTATGGAAATATGGAGGCATATATCTAGATCTGGACGTAGTCGTCACCACGTAAGAATCTCCATATATGAATTTATATTAACAGTAGACTTCCACAACACCGTTACTTTTATCACGACTATCATAGATCTACGAACACCACACAATACTATGCGTTATGTCGGTACGCGTTATACGGCTAAGCATTAAATAATTAAGTGTTTTATAGCTACGCGTTAGATGCTTTACATATTCTATCGTATGTTGCATCACAAGCGTTACACATTAGATGAAATTTTCAATAGCTTCAGTATGACCGACTACGCGTTGAGCGTAAATGAATCATGGATGATTAATCACTTATGACGGAACGTTTTATTGATAGATCTTTGGAGCATTTAACGAACTTTGCTGGTGCCGAAGACTGGGACGATGTTGCTGCTGGTGTGATAGGTCTCGACGCTACACCGCTGGGTCGTCGTGTGGCCGATGCTTGTATTCGAGATTTGATGAAAAATTTTCGAGGTAATGTTTGGGGTAACAATGGACCTGGTGTAATCACTCGAATTCTACGAAGAATCTGTTCTGCAAAATACGTAAGTATAACATAAATTACGCTTACTTCCAATGAAACATTGATGTAATTTCCTCGTTACCTTGTTTAACCCTTTGCGGTCGGTGCCGCCACTGTGGTGGCATTTCGAAAATGTCTTAGAAGTCGGTATCGCCGCTGTGGCGGCATGACCACACCTTCCAGAAGAACTGAGATTAACAGAATGCTAGTCATTTCGGACATCTCATAAATAAATAAAAATGTAATGAATTATAAATTGAATTTCAATATTTAGTAAGAAATAAACATTCCAATTGTTCGTAGCATATAATGCGTTCAGGGACCAAAAAAGATTGTGCAGTATGTTTCGACAGAAAAACCCCCGGCAAGAGGCGAGAAACACGCACATATTGTCACTTGTATTCGGAAGCCAGGGCTTCATATCGGCGATTGCTTTGAAAAATATTACACGTTATCAAATTAAGAAAGCTAAATCTTTCCGTTTTTATGTAGTTTAAGCACCCACCTTAAACCGCTTAGGGTACAATGACTCCGAAAAGCTAAATTTGCTCCGACTTGCTGGTATGTACTACCAGCCGAAAAATCTGCCGACCGCAAAGGGTTAAAGATATTTTCGTCCTAAAAAATCATGTGAGTTTGCCTGAAAATTTTCTCGTATACAAAATGCAATAGCTTCGTAACAAGAAAGAAGATGGGATGTTATCTGAAATTCTTGTCTTTCAAAGAAATTACTATGCATACGCTGTTTCATTTTCTTGCAAGGCAGTGAAATATTTAAGAAACTGAAGAGCGACATAGATTATACGTTATTACCATTCTGTAGATTATACCTGCACAATGAGTAAGAAATACTATAAACGTTTATGTTACGCTAAATGCCAAATGCCTACAGTTTTCTGAATCAGTCTTTCAATGGACAACTTCGATCTCTAATAAAGTAATTGACTTTATATCGTCAACCATTGTAGCGTACCGTATAGTGGCTCGTTGCATATATAATTCACATACTGTTATTAATACTTTCAAGTAACATAATGTTGAAGATTACGCCGTACTTTTCTTAGGTTCGAGATATGACTCCTGCTCGATGCGGCGGCTTCAAAGTTTACTCACCGTCAGCCTTCTACCCGGTGCACTACAAAAAATGGAAGATGTATTTCGAAACGAAGGACAAGAACGCCACAATGAAAATGTTGAAGAAAGCTCTGGCTATTCACGTATGGAATAAACTCAGCAAATCAATGGAGGTGCATGTGAACAGTGATGTTCCTTACGCGATCATTGCACGAAAGCACTGTCCAAAAGTCTTTAATAATTGTGGAAGTATATTTTAATGCATTGATTGCCATAGGAATTTATATAAGTGATTTAGAAGACATTTGTAACTATTAAAAAATTATATTAATAATAACAGAAAGTACATTGAAGCTGCTTAAGAGTTGAACTAGATAAGAAATTATTTATTAATATTGTTTGCACAATCTAACCATGCGCCGTACGAGGCTCGGTTATTTCTACCGCAAAAGTCAACTCTGTCGATTATCAATTAAGTGATAATCTGAAAATATAATGATATACAAACATGTACAAGTGTAGTTCGTACAATATTCTGTGCTATACTGTGCAATGTCACTTTTTTATAACAAACTCGGTGCTATGTATATACACTACAGATATTATAAGCAGACTTACGTTAACATTCGTACGTCGATGTCTATGAAATATCCTGATTTACGTTGTAAAAAAAAAACGTATAGACAAACAAAAATAACGCTAAATATACAGAAGTTGTACAAAATTTGTCTTTCTAAAGATGATCTTGTATTCTAAGTAGTACGCTAATAGTCCATATTTCCGTTGTTTATGCAGTTTCGAAAGGTAAAAAATTTATTAAAGGACGTACGATTTTGACAATACGAAAGACCAAGTTTGAAAAAACATTAAAAACGATAGCAATACGTGTATTACATGTAGTAAAATATTAATTGCGACAAACACGAACAATCATTGCGAAAAGAAGGCGTCGAGGATTTTTTATATTTATACGTGACTTGATCTAATTAAGGGATTCTTTTAGATTAAAAGACATTTGAAATATTTATTATCGTCTATATTATTCTTTTTACTTGATGATTCAATGCACATAATAATTCAATAACCACGAACAGTAATAATAATGTCTTTCGTTAAAAGATAATATATATGTTAAAAATAGACTAAGGTTTTATTACACACTGGATACATTAAGTTGATATGTGTCGAATATACGATTGTGAACTTTAAGTTTAAGGTTGATTAGACGTTACTACTACTTTATGGTGCTTTTATGTTATCAAATGATATTCTCATTTGACATCCAACAATCTGATACGGATTATATATGTCATATTAGATGTTAATTTGCAACAAGCTGTAGTAGTAATGAAAATGTACCTGGTCCAACACTTTTCTGGTATTAAGTTTAGGGACAAAAATCTATTGACCCATTATTGTACAAAGCTCAATCCATTACAGTAGCTGCTTAGTGAACATAAACATTCTGATTCGAATCATGTACTTATCTAATCAATGTGAACACATTCGCAAAAATCTGATAAATTGGAATTGATCTGCCGATGCAATAATCATACCAAAAGCAGAAAAATAATATTTAAAGAGAAAAAGATATACATCGTATGTGATAGTTTAGACAAAATGCAAGAGAGAACGTGCCTGTGAATATTTCGTACTTGATTTTCAATCAAAGTGCCTATAAAGGATTATAAGCGAACACATTCAGCGATCATGTGAAAGACTGTTACCAAAAGACTACAATTAATTTCTAAATAAAAGAAATATATAACTTAGAAAAGTGTTATGCAAACGAGCTATTTTCTCATGGAAATACATTATGGAAATGTATAAGATTCAGTTAACCCTTTTACGACTAAATTTTTTCGGACGATGTGAAAAATTGTTCTTACCAGCTGTTAATAACAAGTGCTTAAATAAGATTTATACGAAATTTATATATGTTATATACGCGATTGGGGATGTAGTCCCACGAGCGGACTGCGCGATGCGGTCACGAAGATCGCCGGAGACAACCGAACGGTACCGAGCGAAAACCGCGCGATAATTCGATCGGCAATTGTTTTTACACCGCGTCTTCCCGCTCGGCCATGCGTTGGCGTCATTCTACGTTTTGCCTACGTCTCGTTCACACCGTATTAAATAAAGTTAATTGTTATTTAAAAGTATTACAAAAGTGTTCATTGGTCTCCCCGCCCAAACACAATAATATATTTTATAAAACATTATATCGTGTAAAATTAATCTTGTCAAAAAATACATTTATCGTTCAGTTTTTGTGAATTAAGATATATACAATGTTGCGCAAATACGACAATGGAAGTAAAAGGGTTAATACATTAAACGATAAGGTGTTCATGTTCCTACTTTACCAAACAATAACGTACAACTATAAAAATCTTATAAACGATATACAATAGAATAGTCCCATATCTAAAGTATTATTCCCATTATCAATCCCACAACATTAGAAATGTTAGCAACAAATTATAGAAATCGATCTAAACGCTTACTATCGTTGGAATGGAAATTAAAATAAAGTTAAGTATAGAAACGATGTACTCTTATTCAATGTTGCTGTTGTGCATCATATTATAATACATACGATAGGCTTTATATTAATTATTAAATTACTGTGATGGATTTTTGTTATTTCTTAAATGTTGTTCGATTGCTTTACATTTTTATATGAAGTTCTTCCGAACATTTATTTAATATTTATAATATAATGTATGTCTGAGGAGCGCACAGGCCACTGCAATATGAATATTTTCTTGGCTAAAGGAAGGTATAATAAAATATACAATAATTTCTGCACGATAATTATTTTTTATAGTATATTATTTTATTAAAAAATGTAGGTGGACAAATTTCGCCGAGTGAACGATTGAATAGGAAAACTTCAGCATAATATAACATCTTAGAGTTTTATAAAATCG